TATTGTTGTGTATACGACATGTAAAGGGATTTTAAAATTGCATGTACTGATCTTGTTCATTAAGTCGAGTCTTTATATATATATATAAGTTATAATGCCAAGAATATACATATTAACTATCAGGCAACTGCGTTTAGAGTAAAACGTACATAAGTGTATTTGGCGATTCATGTTTAGCAAAATATAATTTTTGGTCTTTGGATACTGTACTATATCACAACAAAGAGTTTTTTTATGCTTTCATTCAGAAAAATAAAAAAGTCAGTTTAAATGCGTCGAGAACTAAATGTCGTAACACGTTTATCCATTTAGAAAACGTAGACAGGATGAAATAGATTAAAAAACAGAGATGTTATTGAAGAAATTCAATAATCATACGAAGCGGTTTTCACGAATGGTTTAAATATATATAAAATATATAATTGGTTTTAATTTCTGGTGAATATCACTTTAATGTCACAACTATGATTTTTTTCTATTTCCAAAACTTTTAAAAATACCCAAATTTCGAAAAATTTTAAATACATGCGAAAAGATAACCACACCTAAACCTGAGTCAAGTTTTCCTTTTTTCCTTTTTTTCAACTAAGCAATAAAGAACTATAGCTACATACCTTGCAACTAACATATTGATATTAATTTAATAATATAAATAAAGAATCCACTTCAAAATTCTTCTTCAAACTACATACTTTGGTAACATATTTCATCATTATTTCAATAAAGGACTAGTTTTAGAGGAATAGTGTAAATATTGAAGATTAATTAAATATTCTTTTATGAAAATTTTGATTTATATCACTAGGGATATTCAGGCAACAGATTAGTTGCTTAGTAGATTAGTAGACCCCTATTATCATTTTCAGTTATTATAACCCTAAGTGTTTTCTTTACAAAATTTTTCCAATAATAAAAATTTTGTAAGAAAAACAGTTCACTACATCTTAAGAAAACAACTTATAAGGGTTCCACGTCAGTGAAATGTTGTAGAAAATACATAAACAAATAGTGGAGCCAATAAAGGTTATGCGAAGGCACTTATAAACCCAGGCACAAATTTTGGTTTTCGTTGGCTAAACAACTTTGTGGGATTTGTTCAGAAAGAAATATAGTAAAAGTTTGAGAGCTTTTAAACTCTTTCAATATTAATTTTTTTTTCTTTTTTAGTGCTGTTACCTGATCATTGTATCCTGTTTATATTAATGTATGTTATACTATATATTAAAACTAAATTAAACATTAACTCCTCGAATGCATTAGTCGATAAAAGTAAATGAAATTGATATGAATTCAATTTAGTACGGCAATTTGAATACTATTATTTCCTTAATTTGCTTGACTTTATTATCTATTTATTTGTGATATCATTTACTATATCAACAATTTTTAATTTTTTGCATAGCAATAGTTTTAGGCATTATTTTGGACGAATTTTTCTAAAGTCTTTTATTATCTACCATCAACTATTTTCCTCTAAATATACAAGACTTTCCTTTTTCTGCTTTTAAAATCATAGTTTTAGGAAAAAGTTACCCATGTAATGCAATTTCTTTTTTTACAACCTTTTAATTAATAACTTCAAGTTTATTATCAAAATTTGTAGGAAGTGCAATAAACCGATGTGTACTCTATTTTCTACTTTCAAATTATCATAATGCCCTTGAGTAATAGGAGTAGGTCTTTAATAATGGCAAAGCAAGCATATAAGGAAAAATATTTAGATAAACTCAGACAAGTACAAGAAAATTATATGATTCGGAAACTAATTAATATATTTCAAGGAAATGAAACCGGAAACGGATTTAAGCCTTCAGAAACGAACCCAACAAAAGAGAACAAGGCAATGGTATATTTTTTTACATTTTTTTTACCAAAAAAGAAAAGAAATTAAAAATCAAATCCTGTAATTTGCAACAAGCAAATTATAATTAAAAACAACAACACAGAACAGCTACTACAAATGTAGTCCTTAGCTGTGAAAGAAATTCTGGTATGGCAACAGTGTAGACGAAAACTTTTTAAACTCCCTGCCACAGGAAGAAATTGAAAGGATCGCTCTGTATTTGCAATTTAAATGATTAAGAAGAAATAAGTTAACAAATAACCATAAGCCCAAGAAAATGGTATGAGTAGGAGAAGAACAAGGAATAACGCTTGATTAACAATTTTATAAATAATTTGGAAATGAAAGTAAAATTTCTTTGCAACCACAAAAGATAATTAAGTGGAAAATTATGGAGTTGTTTAATATTAATGACGACTGTATTAAATTGAGTTGAATTGAAAAACCAAAATGTTAAATGGCGAGGACTTAAATCAACATAAGTCTTTATTTAGTGAATGTGGGTGGACGAAGTACGTCTGAAATTCTGATTGATTGATTGATGTAGATAAGCGATTTTTTAGATAAAATTAAATCAAATGAAAATGAAATGCATAGGCGAGAATTTATAAATACAACAACTAATTTCATTAGAATTACAATTCTAAATTTTTATTTTCCAAACCACATACTAAAAGTTAATTCAATGTATGTATCCAATAGATGTATTGTTAGAACGAACGTTGTTGAGACAGTGATATTTATTTATCAATTCAAAACAGCTAGACCTTAAAAGAAAAAAAAACAATAAGAAGTGATATACAGCAACAAATTCACTTTTATCAAAGATAAAGCTATATACACATCAACATATTGCTTTCATTAAAACACGTTTAAGATGTTTTAACTGGTTTAATTAACTGGACCGATATCAAACGCAGAGATGCATTTGCAGTTTTATATTTTTTCCTTTTTAGTAATCAGTGACTATTGTGAATGTTAAGTCTGTACTATGGTTTCAAAATTTGCAGTTGAATATTACTGTACTATTATATTTATCTTTATTGTTCAATTAATACATTATGTTGATAATAAGAGATATAAAATATATCTCTAAAAACATTCGTAAAAGCTGTGATTCCCTCTTGCATGCCAACCAGAGTTGCATAACTACAGTCATATAATATGTTAAGTAAAATGTTACTACAGAGTCCCCCGCTTATATGAAGCTAACAAAGGTCATAACAATGGTCATGTTATTCGAAATCTCTTAAACGCAATTGTCGGGTTTTTATTCTGATTTATCTTCTTAACGTTCATGATTCTTCAACGCCTTGGATGATACTCTCACCTACAGGATCATATAATTCTTCGTTGTTAGTCATCTCATAGTCTGAAGACATGTCAGGCTAAACTATTGGTATAACAGGAATGTATTGTTGATATTGATGAATTGACACCTGTTTTGGTGTTACTTGAATTTGCTTCAATTGTACTACAGTGCTTTTTAAATGATATGTCGCTTCAATGTTTTCCCAATTTTTACAAGATTATGTAAATGAACAAGTTTTCAACTACCTTTCCTGTATTATAAATTCTTTTATTATTTGAGAAAGAAATCGCCTGGATCCTCTGACCTTCTTTTAGCGTTCCAATACCTGAAATGTTCTCGTTTGTTTTCTTCTCTGTTAAGGGTTTTGTTGTCTCTAACTGATTACGAATTTGATGATTAAGATACAATTAAGATAGCTTTATATCTCTTAAGGATTTCATTAACTTTCTCGTTGATAACATAGGTCTCGCAACAGATGTCATTATATACTTTCTGCTCAAAAAGTATCCGGATTTTGTTGTTTGTTAACTACTCCTTAATTAATAGACCTTTTTCAGAAAATTTTTTTTTGTTATTACACCCTTTCTTGACATATGATACAAATTTGAGCGTCATCTGTCAATTAGTTTGTTTACTGCAGCTGTTAATGTGAGACTACCTAAAGTGCATTTAGCGTTTTTTACTATGGAAAATTCTTGTTGTACGCGATTTTTTGACCAAACACGGCACCATTGTCATCGCTCAGGCACTATATTCGCCAGATCTGGGTCCGTGCGACTTTTTACTGTTTCCGAAACTCAAATTGCCCCTTCGTGGTAAGCGTTTTGAGTCGATTGAATCGGTAAAAGAGAATTCGCTGAAGGAACTAACAGCCATACCTTCATGGGCCTACGAAAAGTGTATGAAAGATTGGATTAAGCGTTGGCATATGTGTATCGCTTCAGAAGGAGCAAATTTTGAAGGAGATAAAATAAATGTGGAATAAAATTTAAATTTTTGTGTTTTATTTACAAAATTCCAGTACTTTTTGAGCAGAAGGTATGCTTAAGTATAAATACCTTGTTATTATTATTATATGTGTGCTTGCAGTCGCAGGTATGAATGCCTGAGAATACTAAGTTTGCTAATAGGAAAATGTAATTATTTTCTTTAACATTTAATAACATTTATTTATTATTTGCATTTAAAAATAAATATACTTTATAGCGCAAAAAAAAGTTTATATTAAATAAGTATTTTTAATTTGTCAACTTTATTTTATGATAACTTGAAGCCATTTTCAGTGTTTAACTTTATTATTTAAGTAAGAGTAAAAATTAAATTTCAGTTATTGTATGAATTTTTGTGGCAAGTAACATATAAAGAACTGTGAAACCAAATTATTATTGCAAAGTAAAAATTCATTAATTAACCACTTTTCCCAGCGAACGTTACTATACATAAAAGGCGTAGAACCAGTAAAAGACAATTAAACTACACTTTAAATAAAAATAAAAACTATTTACTTTTGCTCACTCATCTTCGGTACTAACTTTCAATAACGACAATAGCACCACAACTAACCTCAACTAACCTCGACTCCATACAAAGCTTGAAGCCAAGTATTTCTGGTTTTCATTGTTAACTTCCGGTTTTTCATTAGCGTTGCCATTTTGTTTCAATTTCAGCAAAAATATTCTTCTTACACTTTTGCATCGCAAGTCAATTCAAGTACTAAACTTTCAGTACATTCTTTTATTTTATTTTTCCATTATTTTCTTTTCTTTATCTTTTTTTGTTTTGTGTTTTTTATCAAAGATACTTTAAAATATTTAAAATTATTGTTTTTTATATTTATTTGACTAGTTCCTGCACCGCCACCGCTACCATCACTGGTACCAAAGGCTCCACCACCACCACCACCGCCACTTGGTCCACTCGGGAAGAAGAAAGAGTTAACAGAAACTCATAAGGCAGCATTAGACAAGCTTAAGTAAGCATTTTTATTATTTCTTTTAAATGGTATTATTTTCTAAATTATTTATTTAAACAATTTTACAGAACTCGACCGCGGAAACGTCCAGATTGGTCTGAAATGATGAAAGAGGTAGAAAGCGGCAAAAAATTGCGCCATGTACAATGCAATGACAGGTAAGAAAAAATTCTGCACAGAAAAATATAGGTATATGGAATTATAACAGAGAATATTAAAATATTATTCTTACATCGTCCTTAATAAAGAAAGCCTCGAAGCTCACATAAGACTAGGACGCACGTAACTTTTGCAACCAACGTGATACCATTAGGGTTTAACATCAACCAACACCTGATAAATATCTGGTATCAACGACAAACTTTAGAAATTTTTTAAATGGACTGTGCAAAGTTAATTAAAGTCTGCTATTAATCATTTCTTTAACGTCATTATCTTGGCATGTGACACAAAAGACACAGCCGCGTCCGCCCGAACTAGTCACGTTTACATATATAAAATCTTTAATAACGAAGGTCAGCAAATTGAAACTATACTTTGTTAAATGTAAAAATGTTTGCTGAGACATTTTAAGTCAGAATTGCCTTGACAGATCAATAAGACGTTTTAAGGGGTTTTAATCTTTGATATTATTGTGTAATCCGAAAAGGTGGTGTGCCATCTGAATAGATATCAACCGTACCCAAGATAGCTTTATGATTCACTTTTTTTTGCATTTCCAAAAGAAGGATATAACCATATGAAGGATATCAGAATTCCCGCCTCTGATATTATTGTGCAATACGAAAAAATAATGTCGCATCTAACCAGGTCATTGGTTTTACAATTTTTCCGATATCAGTTTAGTCCACAGTTTTCAAATCAAAACAGGTCCTAGAGTGTTACGAGCTTCTGCAATCACTTGCAGCTCGGAATAAAGTAAGCCTTTACTGGGTTCCGGGTCACAGAGGAGTTTTGGGAAATGAAAAATCTGATGAGCTAGCCAGAACTGCATCAAAAACTGCTTTTATAGGCCCTCAACCCTTTTGTGGAATAAACTGGGCCAGTAAAAATATAAAAATAGTCCATAGTTCATTCAAATATGAGATGCATTATAAAACTGCTCTTGACATCATCTTTGCTCTAATGAATGATTCGATTGCAACTAGCTTGCCGAATAAAATAGAGTCATTACTCCACAATGTTGTATTCATTGTATTCATTCCCACATTTCATAGAGATGTAAAACGATTATTGAACGATTTTATTGATCATATCTTTACGCTAGTGGTAATTTGATGGCAGCTTTCTTATCGGAATTTGATGGCTTACTCATCTGAAAAAATGTGGGCATCGGTCTACCATGTCATAGTACATCTTACCAACTCAGCTACCTTACAAATGACTTTAACTTTAGCTTGGAAAACACTAAAAAAGTTAAGTAATCAGTAGTCATTTGAACTACACGATGATATGAATTCAACTTTTAGGTTCTTCAGGCCGTTCTTAACCCCGTTCTTTTTTAATTCTTAACTTTACTTATTCTTATACCCAAAATACTAAACGTAGTTCATTGTCATCATTGCAATTACTGTAAAAATGATCCTATACGTTTATCTTTTAAGATATGTGTACTTTAGAAAGTCTTTCGTGATGTTTTCACTTTTATAGATAATATTTTTATACTATTTTCTGTATGATATTGTATTTAAATCTCTTATAATAAAATAGCGATAAATAAAATTATTTTTATCATAAGTTTTTCCTTTTCCTGATGAAGACAGATAACAAGTACCGAAACAAATATTGTAGATACAAGACATTTCAGAGCACATCTACATACGGACTAGGGTAATGGCAAAAGCAAAATGGATCAAAAAGAAAGGAAGTAAATATTATAGTAGAAAGGATGTAATAAATAAATAATAAAAGGTATAAGAGAATAGCAAAGACTATAGAAGAACTATCACCAAAATGAAGAGTAAATATAAGGTGAAAAGATAATGGACATGAAGAATGAAGCAGCTGAAACTGCGATATGTCAATATTATATTATCAGAATATTATCAGTAGAATGGAAAGTGAGTCTCAGATTCATTTAACTAAAATCAAATACAGGTTATTAACAATATTTAAAAACTATGGCATTTTCTTTTTTATAAAGTATCTATAAATAAGTATATATAATAAATATACTAAACTAAGTATCTATAATAAGTATTTATACTTATCTATAAATTTTAAAACCTTTTGTCAAGTACATTAGATTAGATTAGATTATGCTGGCAGAACAAAAAGGCCACGCGTAGACCATTAAGGTCCATTGCGATACCAGATCAGAGTCTCATCACTTAGGATGCGCGATTCATTGGCAAAATTTATTAGGATTCCAACAGAAACCTCAGGTATGTGCTCCAGTCCTGTAAAACTGACAGCCCCCAAGTATTTTTGTCGAGTTCTCGAGAGAGCCGGGCAATTACACAGTAGATGTTTGCTTTGCATTCAGCTCATTGCATTTCCTTCAAGCATCACTGTGAGTTAGGTTTAGTTTTCGGGCATGTGATGCGACCAGACAGTGACCTGTCAACACACCAATTAATGTTCTACAGTTCCTTTGGTTATTGTCAAGTACATGTTTGCACATATATTGTGATTTAAAGTCTTAAAACAATTACTTTAAATCTATTAGAGTCGGATTTGTGTCCAGAACTTAAGTCTATACTGACTTAAGTCTCTGTACTTTATGCTTAAGTCATCAAGTTTTCTAACTGCATATACTTAAACCAGTTTTGAAATTACAGTTAAGACTGTGGAATCTATTCCTAAATTTGAAAATTTTTAAATTCAATTTTTTCTTTTATATTTTAAGATCTCAACCGATTCTCACCTGTAAATCAATGACAAAAGTTGATGATAAATTTATCTATGAGACAGAGAAAGATAATTCACATAATAAATTGTTAAAACAAATCCAAGGCGGTGTAAAATTGAAACCCACAAAAACACATGATCGCAGTAAGCCGTTTATAGAGGGTCTCAGAAAATTCCGCAAGCAAATGACAATTGAAGAGCAATTACAAAAATCACAATCAAAAATAAATATGCTAGGCGAGGTAACACTATTAGTTTTCGATTTTAGAATATTACCATTTCATTCAATAATTACACATCACACTTATTACAGGCACCCAGCAGTATAGCTACTAAAGATGAAGTTGGCTCTTCAAGCGGTATTGTAGCTGCGCTATCAATCGATGATCCAAGCGGTGATGAACTCGACGATATCGATAACATACGCGACGATCTGCAGAGTACAAAGCAAATGTTGGCACTCGAACTGCGTACTCGTGAAGCACAGGAACGTGAAAATAAAAAACTCTTGGCAAAAATTGCAACACTCGAAGCTGAATTGGAACGTGAGAAATCACGTGAAAAGAATTTGGAATATGGATCGAATGTTATAGTAGCAACTATGGATGCAACACCAGGGAAAGAAGAACTTTATGTGCGCTCACTGCAAAAAGAAGCAGAAGAATCGCGTAACGCTTCAAGTGAATTACAAAAGAAATATTTGGATACTGGTGAACTCCTTGATCAGGCCAAGAGTGAAATTGAAGAACAGAAACGACAAATACAAATGTTGGAACGTAAGTTGGCGCAGGCATTACAGGTAAGGGATCGTATTTCGTCCATTTTTTAAAAGATAGCAACTTGCTTTATATTTGCTTAATATTATTTTTCATTTTGCTTATTACTTCTAAATGCTTTTGCTTAACCATAAAAAGAGTGAGCTAACACCCAATGCTAAAGCTTCCCAATTTAACTTTTGCTACGCTTATGAAGATCCACATGACTATGACACATACTATGAAGCAAATGCTATACATTACAATAAGTGGCAGGTAAAAACAGAATGCGTTTTACTTAACTGAAATTATCAAAATAATAAGCATCAAGAAAAAATGTTAGGAATATAAAAATATCAATTTTCCTCGTATTTACAGGGCGGTGGTTCAATTGGTGGTTCGAGACGCGCTAGTGAGGCACATTTAGGACGTGACAGTTCACCTGAATTCGATGTTGAACTTAGCGAAAGTGATCCAGACGAACCTGAAGAAAAGAAAACTGAACGACGTGAACGACGTTTAGTTAAGGAAGTGAAAGTACTTCGCAAGAAACTAACAATTCTCAAAGTCAAACAGGAAGCAGCTAAGAAGGAAAAAGTGGCCTTGAAACAGGCAATGAAGAAGAATCATGTTATTCTTAAGTAGGTTTATAAGATATATACTTGATGTTCTATCTGTCATGTGATTAATTTTACAGGGAAGAAAACAAAAAATTCAAAAAATTGGACAAAGAAGTTCAAAAAATGGCGAAAAATATGGAAGAGGAACCAGACTTCGACGATTTGGACGATGATGAAGAAAAACCTGTAAGTTTTAGAAATTTGCTGTATATAAGATGTAGTAGCTTACAATTTAGATAATCAACTAGGAATTATTTTGTTTAAGCAGATACAAGAGTATTAAATGATTAATGGTGTGATGATGTGTAAATAAATAATCAGAAATAAGCTAAATAACAAGCTAAACAATTAAGAGTTAAATGTTAATAGTTATTGTATATAAACACAATATAAATAATTTATAGTCTAAGGTATGTATATAGACACAAACTAAATAATTAAGACTCTAGGGATCACTGTTCGATCGTTGTGAATTCCTAGGAAAGCATTAGACAATCATCAAGAAAATTTAGGACAATATGTTCAGAATCAGCACATGGATACTTTGAAACACTTTGAATTCAGGTCCAGGTTTATCTTTGTTGCGTTGATTTTTTCAATTGACCTATTTAACCTATTTAAGCATATTAAAATTACATATTTCCCGTGGCAATTTAGTTTTATTAAATATGCAACTAGTGACAATATTGGAATACATCTTTCAGCCATCGCACTATTTTTCGTTCATTTCGAATAAGAGATCGTATAGATTTTTGGCTATATGCGTGGAGATTATTCGAGATCTTAATTTGGGGCGAAAGAATTCTCTCAGTCAGTAATTATCAGAATATTTCTATTGTTAATGACTTTGTTGTATTTACGAAGGAGAGCTTATGTCTTTTATAGTTCGGGAGAAACAATAATATAAGCAGCCACTTTAAAAGTATTGAAGAGATTGTAACACGTATGATAAGAAAAGCAATCGTTATTTTAATCGTACTGTAATGAACTCCTGGTTTTAATAAAAAACTGTTTAATATTAAATTTAAGATTTATTGCCATTTAAAAAAAAACTATTCTCATATCTGTTTTATGAGACTATGAGACTTTGTTCTTCATTTTCTTCTCGTGATGGAAAACGAGTTGGTGCCTAAAGCACATATACTCCATTGATAAATGGGTTTGAATTATTCAGGTTATTATATAGAAATAAAGTTTGCAGTTGAGCAAATCTCTCTGACGAAATATACATATACTGCATTTGTTTTATGAAAGTGCAATTTTCTGTATGTTATTTACTTTTACGCACTCCCGATTCTCAAATTCTTGTAATATACCCATAAGTTGCAGAAAGGAGTCACTAAAAACTTAGTAATAGACTATAACAACTTAGTTAATATCATATCCCAAAAAGAACATTTTTTGTATCTCGGAACGACGAGCATCATTTGCACGTCTGTACAGATGAGCGGCTGCGGAATGTCGACCGGGCCATTCCCGGAACTGAGATTTAGTATATCTTGGTAATTTTAGACAAAAATAATTAACTAGTTTACATTATAGTCTTAATAAAGAACCCTTGTTTAGTTCAATAATATATATTATAATATGTTATAATAATATATATTATAATAATATATATTATAATAATATATATTATAATAATATATATTAAAATAATAGTTATATCTATTATCTTAAGTGAGCGATAAAAAAGAACAATAGTTGAGCTTATCTTTCTTTTTGTTAATTCTTACAGAATTATTTGAATATATTTCCCACTCATGACATTGTTTTTGTTTATATTAATAGAAAGCAGACAATGAAGCTGAACAATCAGATGAGGAAGAAGAAGAAGAGGAGGAATCTGAGGAAGAATCCGAAGAATCAGAATCTGAAGAGAGTGAAGCTGAAACAGAAAGTGAAAGTGAAGCAGAAGTAAGTGTAAAAAAATAGATAATAGTTTTTTTAGAATTACCATTAATTAAAATTTTTGTCTTACAGGACGCAACAAATACTGACAAGAAAAATAATTTGGAACCACGTGTGAAGAAACATGAAAGCCGCCTATCAGCCATGAAGAAATGCAATGTCCTCTTACAAGCAAACGTAGATAATTTACAGGATGAAATCACACAAGTACGCGCCAAAGCAGCCAATTTACAAGCCGAATTAGACGCAGTACTGGCAGATTTAGGATTTTAAATTATAAACGTTATTTTAGCAGAGAATTTATTGTGTTAACTGTTTTGCTTTTTTTTTAGGTATTTTATATTCTAATTGACATGTATTTATTAAATATAATAACAATAAAACATATATATGTTAAAAAATAAAATAGTTTGGCTTACCTGATTTGTGTTATAGTTTTATATTGATAAATATGAATATTTATAATATAAACTGCAAAAA